AGGAGAATCACCCTTTTGTTTCAGCTGCTCTCTCACTTCTGAGCTCTGCTCATCATTAAAGAATACTGGATGTGCAGGCGAGGAAAACGCTGTCCCCAAGGCCCTCAGAGTCTGGTGGAGGCGGGCATGGGGGTGGGGTCAGGGCACTGCAGCCCCCTCCCCAGGAAGACAGAGCCCCTCACTCTTGACATGCAGCCGGTGAGAGAATCACCCTTTTGTTTCAGCTGCTCTCTCACTTCTGAGCTCTGCTCATCATTAAAGAATACTGGATGTGCAGGCGAGGAAAACGCTGTCCCCAAGGCCCTCAGAGTCTGGTGGAGGCGGGCATGGGGGTGGGGTCAGGGCACTGCAGCCCCCTCCCCAGGAAGACAGAGCCCCTCACTCTTGACATGCAGCCGGTGAGCTGAAACCACAACATTAGTTGGGCACACTGCAAAGTAGTTCACATATGTGGAGAGAGATCCTTGGGGGCAGGGGTGATCCCCGCTCCCACTGGGCCCAGGCTAGAGGGCATTAGGCTCCTGAGCCACTCCACTCCATTTTCTGGCTGAGTGCAATTGGCACAAAGCTGATGGCTCCCTGTGCTCGCAGAGGGGAGACTTCCAAGATATCCCAGCATGCTTTGATGTTGCGCTTGAGGGCAGGGGTTTGCAGTGCAGGAGGGGTTCAGGACTGGGGCTGAGGTTCGGAGCTGGCTCCAGCTAGGCACCGCTTATCACAGGTGGGTTCTGGGTGGTGGTGGTGCATTTTCACTAAAATCCACTACTTACCACAGGGGACTGAAGAGCAGCACGTGTTCTGAAATGGGGGGGGGGGGGCACACTGGGAACTCCAGGCCAGCATGCCACTGGGAATTACAGGCCAGCATGCTTTATTGGCATTGCATGTGATAAACTAATTGAAAGGATGATTAAAAGTAGGAATTATAAGCCACCTGGCTAATCATGGAGGCTAACCAGCGTGGCTCCGGCCGGGGAGAATCTCTTCTGTCGGAACTCTGTGAACAATAAAACAGGGTAATGGCAAAATGGTTGACCTAATTTATTCGGACTTCCATAAAGCCTTTGATGAAGTCTGGCACAAGAGTCTAGTAAGAGAACTATGTAGCCATGGGGTGAGAGGCAAAATACCATCATAGATCACAGACTGGCAGAGACAGAAAACAGAGTTGGAATAACTGGTTAATTTCCAGCATGGCAAAGGTTAGCAGCGAGGTGAGCCAAGGCTCCAGGCTGAGACCAGCGCTGCTTGACAGATGTATTAATCTGGAAAAGGCAGGGAGTCGCGAAGTGGGAACATTTACAGCTAGCTCAAAATTACTTAAGTTAGTCGAGCCCTGAGAAGAGTGTGCAGAACTTCAGAGGGATCTAACCAAGCTAGGTGAATGGGCAATTTGATGGCAGATGTGTCCGTGGTGATGAATATGAGGTAAGGTACTTTGGAGGGAATCGACTGAATCACTCATACACCTTACAGGGCATAGGTGCTAGAACTAGGAAGCTGGGGGTGCTGTGACAACCCCTGTCTTGAAGTGATTTCCATCAAACACAGGATTTACGGTTCAGTTTGATGGCTCTCAGCACTCTGCCTAGTCCCAGCGCCTCGGTTACAGGGCTCTATATTAACTGTGTCAGTTCAGGAAGAAGACCCGAGCATCGTTGTGGACAGCTCAATAAAAACCTCTTGGGAGTTGCTGCCCAAGAAGGGAACCAAATGTTCAGGAGCATGAGCAATGAGAGGAAGAATAATACAGAAAATATTATAATGGCATGTGCAAGTCTGTACTACGTCCATTCTGATCATCCATCTCACAAAGGAACTAGTCAAAATAGAGAGGATTTGGAGACAGGCCATAAGGATTTGGAGACAGGCCATAAGATTGATTAGAGACCTGGAAAACCCTCAGAGGGAAAAGAGATTGAAAAGATTGGCATTGTTTATTTTAGAGAGGAGATAAGCAAGATGGGATGTGAGGGAAGAGTGCAAGCTAATGAAGTGCAGAGAAAGTAGATCAGGTCATTCAGCTCATAACATCTGACCAGGGAGTATCTGGTGCATTTGAAAGGTGAGGGTATATTTGAAACTACCCCAAGGAAACACTTCTTCATGCAATGCACAATTGGGCCATGGAGCTCATTGCCACTAGATACCAAAAAGCCAAAAACTTAGCAGGATTCAACCAAGACTGGAGATTTATCTGGAGAACGAGAATGTTCAGAGATACAACAATAAGGATTTTTGAGAGAGGGAACGTTCTGGAAGGGTTATGAACTCTTCTGCTTCTAGAGAGAAGCCAACCTCTAACTGCTGGATATTGGAAGGAGACTTTTCATGGAAACAGGTTCTCTTACAACTGACTACTGTAGGGTTTCTTTCACTCTCCTCTGAAGCATGTGATGTTGGCTGCTGTCAAGGACCCTATCTGGAGGTAGCTCTGGGCTGATCCAGGAATGCAATTCCTGTGTGTATAAGGGAGAGGAAATGTACGGAACCAAGAAGAAGCCGATGGAGAGGGTTGCATTTTACGTGGTTTATCTATTTAGATTGCAAATTCTTGCCGCATCGGTTGTCCCTAGGACTATCCAAGTGCGGAGACCCGTGCATGTGTGTGTGTGAAACCATGCAAAATTCTGTGCACAACAAGCGACTTCCATCTCCGAAAAACACCAGACCAGAAACTCAGCTGGTGCAAACCATTGAAGTCAGTGGGCCAGATCCTTGGGTGGACTGGCTTGGCGCAGCCACATTGAAGCCAATCCTTAGTATTGAATGCCTGCAACACTCAGACCAATCGAGCTGCTACCCCCTTGCGTGTGGATGTGTGGGGGGCGGCTCAGGTTTCCATCCCCAAGTAAGGGCACTAAATCTTTTCTCTCCATGACTCCCTTAGGTTTCAGGGTGCCATGCAGCAGCTGTCTGGAAGGAAAGTGTCAAGAACAAGGAGCCAAATGGAGTGTCTGGGCTGAAAACTGGCATCCAAAACAGTGCAGGGCAGGCAAACCTCCCTGCCCAGAGTCCTCTGATAGTCCAGTTCAACCGAGAGATAATGCAGGTAGAGTCTGGGATATCCTCTTCTGGGGATCCCGGGAGGAAGGTCTGGGAGCAGTTGCCTGGGATGTTGATCCACACGATGTGCCTCTCCATTGCAGGGTGCTGGGAGTGGGCCTGGGGGTGGGGGGGCGGTGATGGTAGGAGACAGTCGCTTCCTTCCAGCTCCAGTGGAGTGGAGCAGGGATGTGTCCATGGCCGGAAGCCTTTCATCTGAGAAGCAGGCACATCGGGGAGTGAATGCTCAGCCCATTGTTGTGGCATAACGTCATATTTGGCAGCCTTTCTCCAGACCGTCTGCCCCAGGGAGCGTGGGTCAGTCCTCACAGGGACCCAGCTTCCTCCCGCCTCCCCCTGCAACAGAGGCGGCACAGGAAAAGGGGTCACAAAGAAGGGGTGTCTCTGCTCTGCAGGGGCATGAGGGCCGCGGGGGAGGGAATGAAAGGAGAACAGGCTCCTCGTGTGATGGGTAGAGAGACAGCCTGTGAGGCCTGCCTGCCTGGCTGTGTCCTCTCCGCTCAGCCTGCAAAGGGCTTTGGCAGCCCAGCAATGGAGATGCCGTCCGGCCAGACTGTGGGGCTCTGCAAGGCAGCGGCCTAGGGATCCGCCCAGAAGTTTCAAGCTTTAACACTTCAGGCACCTTCTCCCAGGGGCTGTGCCCGGAGCCCATGCCAGGGACCCGCAAAGCAGCCTCATTCTGCAAATCAGAAGCTCCTGTGCCACATCAGCCCCATGGACCCAGGCCAGTGTCCCCTCCTGCCTGCTCCCCCAGCTCACATCACTGGGCCCATCTCTCTGCCAGGCCAGGGCAGACCAATGGCCCCATGTGTCCCTCTCTGGGATGGGCCCCTTTACCCTGCCATCCCACCAACTCCTGCAAGTGGTTGTTTCCTCCGGGAAGGAGGCAGTGGGACTCCCAGATCATAGCACCTCCCTGTGTTCCAGGCCGAGAGCTGGGTGCGAGGGAAGCTGCGGGACCTGAAGGACAGTGGCTGTATCCAGGACTGGGAATGGGTGACACAGACCCTGCAAAGAGACATGAAGGATTTTGAGAACAAGCTGATCAAACTGAACCAGGTATGGTGGGGACTCCGGGACAGACCCACTCCTAGTCCAGCCTCCTCCCCAGCAATTCCCTGGGCTTGTGCTGTTCTCGCCTGCCCCCAGGCAATGCCTGGCTGTCCCTTTGTGCTGCTCCATGCCTGGGAAGTTCTCCAGCGGGCCAGTGGATTGAGGGCTTAGGTTCTCTGAGCTGCTTCACTTCCTTGCCTCTCCCCAGATGGGTGAGCAGCTCATGGGCCGGCCCAGCCCCAGCGTGGAGACAGTCAGGAGGCAGCTGCTGTCCCTGAGGGAGCAGTGGCAGTTGCTGAAGCAGACAGCCGCGAATCAGAGCAAAGCGCTGAGTGGGCTGCGCAACCTGCAGGAATTCAACAGGCGAGCAGAGCGGCTGGAGGCTTGGATCCGGCAGAAGGTAGGCGGAGTGGGAGAGGGACCATCAGCTGGATGGGACCTTTTCAGCCTTCTCCCCACTGTGTTAGGGATATACCCCCACCTGGGGGCTTGGAGACCGCCCAGGAGCAATCCCAATGCTGCCCAGCTGCTTAGCAGAGTGTCCACAGCTAGGCTTGTGTTTCTATTGGTGGTGCACATGCATGGTGTAACATGTCTCGATGCACATAAAATTTATCCTGCACATGGATGGAAAAGATAAAAGGGAACACTGCCCCCCACCCCTCTGCAGTGTCCTGGGGCCCTGCCCCTGCAGGGGGGTCTTTTGAGCACACACACCACTTGGAAAAGGCAGGGCAGCAGCCTAGGGGCCCAGGATGGGATTATAGGGTGGGAGATGTTAGGGCCCTGGCCCCACAGGGAACATAGCGCTGGATTACAGATGGCATCTTCACACTCTCAGCCTGTGGGCACAGTGCATTTGCCATGGCAGCCAGGAGCCGGCTGCCTGTGCGATGTAGAGGGCAGTCGAGATCACCCCTGTACAGGCATTTATCCTCTTTACAGAAGGGGAAACTGAGGCACGGGGAAAGGACTTGCCCAAGTTGACCGGTGAGCTGGGAGTGGAACCCAGGAGTGCTACCTGCCCATTGCCCAGCCCTCGCTCTAGACCTCCTGCCTCAGGTTCAGTCTGGGGCAGTTTCTCTGTGGATCTCTGAGCTTCCTTTGTCCTCCCCTTGTTCTAACTCCCATCTGTCCCAGGAAGAGAAGCCCGTGCTGGCTGCCCTCCTGCAGCAGAGTGTGGACAAGATCCAGCTCACGCGCCGCATCCTTGATTTAAAACAGGTGAGCGTCTTGTCCCTGGCTTGGCCCCTGCCACTCCACTCCCAGGGGACATTTTGGGGTTCTCCACTGTAGCTCAGCCCCCAGGAGACACCTCAGCTCCCTGTCCGCTCTCCACTTCTGCTTCCACTGGCTTGGTGTTGGTGCCAGAAGAACGACCAAGCTGAGCCGGGGAGCATCTCAGACACTGTCCTTTGGGGCGGCCTCTGCAGGTTCGCACTGTTGAGCCTAGCGCCCCCAAGAGCAGTAAGTATCAGAATGCTCTTCGAAGCCAGGCCCGTCAGCAGCAAAGTCCATTGTGCTGGGGGCCCCCAACTCAGCTGGGCCACAGCTCCCGCCCATGCCTCTCTGCAGCCAGTGCTGCTGGAGCATCTGGAATGGCGCTCATAGACTTCAAGGCCAGAAGGGACCATCATGATCCTCTAGTCTGACCTCCTGCACCTTGCAGACCACAGACCCTCATCCACCCACTCCTGATGGAGACCCCTAACCGCTGGCTGAGTTACTCACGTGGGTGAATCATGGTTTAAAGACTTCCAGTTACAGAGAACCCACCATTTCCACGTGTTCACACCTGCAAGCGACCCGTGTGCCATGCGGCAGAGGAAGGCAAAACCCCCCCAGGAACTCTGCCCACCTCACCTGGAAGAAAATGCCTTCCCGACCCCCAAATGGTGATGAGGGAGACCCTGAGCATGTGGGCAAGACCCACCAGCCAGACACCTAGGAAAGAACTGTCAGTAGTAACTCAGAGCCCGCTCCAGCTAGTGCCCCATCACCAGCCACTGGAGATATTGGCTGTTAGTCACAGATCAGCTCCATGCCAACGTAGGCCGCCCCATCCGAACAATTTCTCCATGAGCTTATCAAGCTCAGTCTTGAAGCCAGTTACCCCCCCCCTTTTCCCCGCTGGGAAGGCAGTTCCAGAACTTCTCCCCTCTGGTGGTTAGAAACCTTCATCTAGTCGGTGGGGGCCAGTTTGTATCCATTTGTTCTTGTGCCCACACTGGCGCTTAACTGGAGCGGGCGCCAGGTGCTGAGTGCTCCTGTGGGGAGAGTTGGTGGGATTTCTCCCTTTCTCTGTCTGAGCCCAGGAGGAGCAGCAGTTCCAGGGCCTGCATGAAGAGATGAACAGCCTGGCCCAGAAACTGGAGAAACACGGCAAGAGTGAGAGCCGGAGCATCTCCGCCCGGCGCAAGCACCTCAATAAAATGTGAGCGATGGGGCCCAGAGAAGGGAGGAGTCATAGCAGCCAGGGAGCTGCAGAGCCAAGGCGGGGGGAGGCTGCATTTGGCAGCACAGTCTGCAATAACCTCCTCCAGCTTTCCCTGTCTAGGTGGCTGCGGCTCCAGGGGACCCTCAGGGAGCATCACGAGACCCTGCAGCTGGCCCTGGAGGCAACTGCCTTCCTCCAGCAAGCAGACATGCTCCTCAGAGCCATCCACGCCAAGGTACCACCCAGGGCTCAGAGCGGGATCGGACTCCAGCCCTGTCTGTGGTTTGAGGAGTACTGGGGGCCAGGATGGGAAGTTCTCAGGCTGGGCTATCGGGGCACCCGAAGCCAGAGAAGTTTGGAGAAGAGCCAGCTCTGCTCTCAGCCCTGACATCTGGGCTAGAACAGGGGCTGAGGCGGGTGTGAAAAGAATATTCCCCCCACCAGACAGCTGGGGAGAAAGGCCTTTGCTTTGCTTTGCAGCCACCAGTAGCCAGCCCAGGATGAGCTGTTTCCACTCCCTCATGGCCACAAGCTCAGTGGCTGGTGCCTCAGGATATCAAGGGAATTAAGGGCAGGGGGACCCCAATATTGCAGAGAGGACACCCACAGAAAAGGGCTTGGCTGTCCAGGCCAGTTGGAGTGAGAGCTACCCCACGGCCTGTGCTCCGTCCCTATCAGGCCCTGGGAACTGAGCTGAAGTGAGATCTCTCCGCAGCCCTGGGTGTGCGCAGAGCCATGGGGGCCTGATGGGGAACATCACGCTCTGCCTTTTCTTCCCTGGGGCCAGTCTGTACTCCCAGGGAATGAGGGATGTTCCTCTTCTGAGAGCTGGTGGGAAGGTGACTTTCTGGGAACTCCCTGCTCTGGGGCTGTGTCACCAGCTGCCCTGCCTGCTAGGGAGTGGCTGCCCCGTTAGGCAGACTGAGAGGTGGCAGACCCCTGAGTTACATCATTGCTGTGCTGGGAGAGATGACCACTGTCACTGGAGAGCATGATGGTAGGTGATGACTCCCATGTAGCTAGGGTCCTCCTAGCCTACGAGGCATGGGGTGGGGACTAGGGTCAAGCAGAGGGGATCCAAATGGCACAGAGCTCTGCAGGGCCCTCTCCCCATGTTTCCCTAAGGGGTACAATGGCGACTCTTTTTTCTTGCAGTGGAGGAGCCTGTGTGGCGTGGGGAAGCAGGGGGACTCTGAGCCCGGACGGGACCGAGATGTCAGGGATATTGCCAGCCAGATCATGGTAAGTGTTGGGCCCTGAGCTGCCCCCACCCCCGGAATGTCTCACCTGAGAGGCAAGGGGATACTGTGTGTGCCCTGGTGGAGCATCTTCCTCCCCCCCCTCCCATACAGCCCTAGCAGGGTGTGCCAGGGGCATCAAGGGATTTAGCACATGTCATACCCTGAATCCTCTTGGGCAGGGCCTGGTGTGTGGAGAGGAGGGGTCCGTGGGAGGGCTTGTTAGAAGGGAGCTGGGTCCCCTGTGTCCTGCTGCTCACCTGCCCTCGAAGGGTTAACCCAGCGTTTCCTGGGTAGTGCCATGCTCAGCTCTCGCCTCTGCAGGCCCACTCTCAGCCAGCCTCATCAGCTCACTCCAGGCCCCTCTTGCTCCTCCAGGTGTTGGATGTGACCATGTCCCAGCTCATCAGCCTCCACCCCAGCCTGGCAGCGCAAGTCCTGCACAAACACCGAGACGTCAAGGAGAGCTGGGCCCAGCTTCAGCAGGTGCTGAGGTATGGCAGAGCCTCATGGCAGCCCATCTGCCAGCACCCCCACCCCCCACCCTCAGAGCGAGTCCCAGGCTGAATTTAGCAAAACGTGTGGTCACTCAAGGCCCTCTCCTGCCTCAAGACCCGGTGAGCAGAAGGGCAAGTGTTTTAAAACATGACGGAGCCAGGACTCCGGGGTTCAGTTCCCAGCTCTGCACACGACTCACGCCCTGCTCCATGCCTCTTCTGCACCCGGGGCAGATTGCTCCAGACCTCTTTCTTACAGGGGTGCAGGCTGCATTAGTGGTGTTGTGGGTGGGAGAAGGCTCTGGGAGCAGAGTGGCCTGTGGGAGTGACCTCTGCCTGCAGAGCTATTGTGTGATTGACTGAGAATGGACTGCGGGTGAGCCTAGCCAGGGACATGCGGGTTGGCTTTGATTTTATACGCAGGCTGGTCCCTGACTGGCGGAAGTTGCTCTTTCCTGAGCTACAGAATCTGAATCCATGGCTGTGGTTGCTCGCCGCAAGCTTGGCGGTGAGGGAGGGGCTTTGCCTTGGCCCATTATACGGTCATGTTCAAATCTGAGCTGCCTGCCATTGGGAAGGGGAGTGTTGGAGCTGGGGTTGTAGGACACATGAGCTGGACTTTCCAGAGAACTCAGCTCCTGAGTAGGGGCAGACTGCTGGGAGCTGATGGGTGTACAGGGCAGGTGCAGGGAAGGGTGACCCCTGTCATTGGGGAGCATATTGGGGGAAGGGACTCCTGTGTGACAAGAGCCCCTCCCCCCATCATCTGCTGGTTTGCTCTGTACTGGGGCTCCCCACAGCTGGCTGGAGTGGGGTCCCTAGGACAGAACCCGCATGAGCTCTTGGCTGCCTTGAGCCTTTCTCTTCTCCGGAGTCAACCTCAGAGGATTCCCGGGGCCTGACCAGCTTAGGGCTCTCTTCCCCATTCTCTCTCTTCTTGCCCCTCCCTCTCCTCCTCTCCCCTCCCCCTGCGTGTGCTCCCTGTCCCCCAGGAACGAGAAGTCGCCTTTGCCAGCCCTGACAAGCAGTTTGCCGATGGAAGAGCCCAACACCCTGAGCCCTGAGCAGACAGCAGCCGGCAGCAGGGGGGTTGTGGGGAGGGATGTTGGAGAGAAGCGGAGGAGGATCCCAGGAAGTGTGGTGAGTGTGGTAGCTGGGGCCCTGTCCCTTTCCCCAGCCCTCCCCTGCCTTGCAACAAGAGCAGCCAAACTAGAGCCACTTGCCTTAGTCTCCCAGCAAAGAGACATGGGAAGGGCACATGGGGAATGAACCCTAAGTGACAGCTGTGTGATCCCTCCTGAGGCCCCCTTGCCAGCCCTTGGGACCCCCCCGCAACCCTGAGCGACAAGCACGTGGCCATGCAAACCCTGCAACCTGCGTGCAGTGCTTGGTGAGCGGCATGACCTGCGTGTGGCTCCAGACGCCAGCCTGGGAGATGGCCTGGGAGTGCTGTACATGCCCCTGCGTGCCCCTGCACCAGCTCGCGTGCCCCCATACACGTCTGCCCAGGGCCACCCTCACACAGGCTCCTGCAGAGCTATTCTGACCCCACGCTTTTGGAGGCCCCGCAATGGCCACCCCGTCTGTCCTATGGCCACGAGGGACCTGGGGCATTACGGGGTTCTGGTGTGGGGCAGTGGTTGCCTCCCCTGCACTCTCCACGCAGGGAGCTGGAGCGGCCCAGCAGCCTGCCATACACGTCTGCCCAGGGCCACCCTCACACAGGCTCCTGCAGAGCTATTCTGACCCCACGCTTTTGGAGGCCCCGCAATGGCCACCCCGTCTGTCCTATGGCCACGAGGGACCTGGGGCATTACGGGGTTCTGGTGTGGGGCAGTGGTTGCCTCCCCTGCACTCTCCACGCAGGGAGCTGGAGCGGCCCAGCAGCCTGTTCCACTCTGGAACCCCTGCTGCCGCCACACCAGGCCCCCTGCATTTCCCCAGGCTGCATTGCTCGGGGGAGGGGGCAAAAAGGTGGAGCAGGGGCGGGGCTTGGGGAAGGGGTGGAGTGGGAGCCTATTGCTGCCGAGGGATTGCCTCAGGCCCCATGCCTGGGGCACTGCAGGGGAGAGGGGGTTGCTCCAGGCCACATGCCCCTCTCAGGATAGCCCTGGGTTCCTGCATGTCCCTCTGGACTCTGACGCATCAGTCTGCGGTGCCACCCTGGCCCCTGCAATTCTGGAGGGGTAGCCCAGCAGCACCTGCTCCACCCACAGCCCCAGGACCACTCACCGGGCTTTGCTTTGGACCCCATGCTGCTGCCAGGATGGCCCCATGCTCAAGGGTGCCCAGCATGTGGTGGCAGAGGAGTGGGTTCTAGGCCCGGTGCAGTGAGAAGTCCCCATTTCTCTGCCTGGTGCCAGCTGAGGGAGGAATCAGAGCTGGGAGACTCCCTTTGTGTCCTAGGTGCAGAAGGACGTTGCAGGGAGCGTGAGGGAGAGTGGGAGGAGCGAGGAGGGCAGCCCCAGCTCCCCACGAGGGCAGGCCACCCCTGGCTGCCACAGCAACAGTAAGAGGTACTAACTCAGCATGGGGCCGGGGGAGGGTGTCGGCCAGGTATTCCTTAGGAGGGGAGCGTTTGCTGGGCCAGGCCTGGTGCTTAGCTGTAAGAAACCAGCTCCAGGGCCTAGTCAGGCAGGGAAGGACATGGGCACCTGGGTTTTCCCTGGAGCAGGCAGCTGCCCGCATGTCCTGAACCTGCAGGATCTGTATGGCAGGGATAACTGCCCCTGCAGACATATCTCTGGGACTCTGTACAGTGTGGGGCTGCCTTGGCCTCTGGCAGAGCCTGCGAGGGTCCCTGTGACGGGAGAGAAACTGTCCGTGACTCTGCATCTCTCCCTCAGGAGGAGGAAACCCCCAGACACTGTGCGGGGCCCGGCCCAGCAGGAGGCCCAGCGGCAGGACTTCTGTCAGGCTGCTAATGTGGTAATGTCTCCAACGAGCCAAGGCGCGTCCCAGCCCCTGTCCCTGGGTCCCAGCGTCGGGCGTCTCCCCACTCTGCTCACAGCCCCCCTCCCTTGGCTGGCCGCAATGCTGTGTTCTGGCTGAGCACGCGGGGCTCAGACCCGGCTGAGCCAGATGGAGGACACAGCGAGCCTGGGGGTTGCACAGACCCTACTGGCCTCACTGCAGCAGGAGATCCTGGGCAACAGCTCCAGCATAGAGGCTGTGTGCCTGGTGAGCACCCACTGTGGGGGGGTGCTGTGTGGGGCAGGGAGTCCCCTACACATCTTGCTTCTGGGCAGGCCGAGGGGGCACCATGCTAGCTGGCATCCCGAGCAGCAGGCGTTTGTGCGACTGGGGGGATAACACTGGGTTCCCAAGCCAGGTACCTGGGGCGCCAGGAGCAGTTTCCTCTTTGCTGCCTTCTGGGGAGGAATGGGCGTTTGCAGTGAGATCCATGCCCCTGTGTGCCCAGGGACAGGCGGCCTGGGAAGGGCAGATCCCCACCCTTGGCATGTGCTTCATTATCAGACCCCCTTGAGGGCCTGCAGAGTGGGAGGCCCAGGCGGACAGGAGCTAATGGTGCGTGTCCGTGTCCGTGTCCCTCAGGGAGGGCAGAAGCTGCTGCGTGGCAGCCCTGGGGGGAGCTCCCAGGTGGAAGGTGTCCTCCAGGAGCTGGAGGGGCTGTGGGAGGAGCTGCAGAGGAGGCACCAGGAGAATGGGGCGGCGCTGAGGGAGATCGATCAGGTGCGTTGCGCCCCTTGTCCCTGCCAGGCATGAGCCTGAAGCAGACAGCGAGGGGCATGAACAGGACGGGAAGGGGATGCACCTGGGATAGCCCCAGTGCAGGCACTGGTAGGACCAGGAATCCCCACAAGGGTCACTGGCCAGTCTCTGGGAGGTGCTGGTGCAGGGGCCGTCTTGAGCCGCGGCTGCTCCCCTGGCAGCGATGTCTCAGCAGGGTGTGTGTGGGGGGGTGCCCAGCCTCCCACAAAGATCAGCCATGTCTATGCCAGGCACGTCGCCCGGAACAGGTGCCCTGTGGAGCCAGCTCAGGAAGTCTCTGCTCCTCCCGCTGGCTCTCCCCGCTGTGACTGGGATGCCTGTCGTTGAGCAACCCAGCACCATTTGTGCTGCCGGGTGACAAGCCCTGTGGTGCTCATGGAAACATGCTGCCCTAGCGAGGGTCGCATGGTGCTGGGGCACACCTAACCAGCCTTCCCTGTGACCCAATGTCACGGCACCTGCGGAGGCTTTCATTCCTGCCCACCCTGAGGCTGGGCATGGGGTGGGGGGAGCTGGCCTGCGAGGTCCTGTCTGCCCCACTCTCCCATCTCTCCCCGCAGGTTCTGCGGCTGGTGGGCGAGCTGGACGGGGCTGAGCACTGGCTGCAGGGGGTGGCGGGCTCGCTGTCAGAGCCCGCCACCGTGAGGAGCCCGGAGGAGCTCCGCCGGGACCTCCAGGAGATCAGCTGCTTGGAGAGCCAGGTCCTGTTGTGGGGCATGAGGCTCCAAGCCCTACGGGAGGAGATGGGGCGAGAGCCCCCTGCAGAGCGCGGGATGGCGGGGAAGATTCAGAGCAAAGTGGAGATGGTGGAGGAGAAGTGAGTCCTGGGGAAGCAAGACTGGGCGGAGCGCCAGGCTACTGGCATGGGAGGCAGCATCAGAGGACGGGAGGAAGAGATGGTGCTGGATGGGCGTGGGGGGCGGATGTGGCAGGGGAGAGGGGATCGCCTAAGGGCAGCGAGGGGATGGCAGGAGGGGGTGGTGCCAGAGGGGTGGGAGCCCCTGGGGGGCGGCAGCGTTGGGGGTTGCAGAACTGAAGGGACTGAGGAGGATTCCTCCTCAGTGGTTGGCATGGGGCATAGGAGCTCCCTGTGGTGCTGCCTCTCTGTGTGCCCTGCCCCACTGCTGTGCTTGCTGTGCCAGGCTGGTGGGCGTGCGAGCGGTGCTGCGGCGGCGGGCAGAGGACCTGCGTGATTCTCTGCTGCTGTCCGAGTTCCTGCAGAACGTGCAGCAGGAGGAGGTGCAGAGCCAGAGGACCCACACGCTGGTGAGGAGTGAGAGGAGGTGGGCCTGGACTCGGGCCCACGCTGGGAATCCCCTCCCTGCTGGGTCAGGTGGGGAGGGGGAGCGGGTGCTACGGCTGGCTGAGGAAGGTCCTGGGTGGGGGTCGTTGGGCCCTCTCATGTCCCATCCAGCACCAGCCCCAACCCCAGCCGCACTGACCTCCTGGTGGGGGAATGGCTGTGGCCAGCAACCCCCGTGAGTGGCGAGAAGGCTCCACAGGACCCCTGGAGGGCCAGGTAGTGCCAGAGTCACCTTGTGTCCCAGTCTCTCTCTCAAGCCCAGCACCCCTGTGTGTCTGTTTTAGAGAGGGACCAGCCGGCGGGGCTCCCAGGAGCCTGTGCCCCCACCCTTGCACCCGCCCTTGGTGCAGGCTGGGCAGCAGCTGAGCCGTGAGGACATGAGCAGCCCCCTGGGTGAGCTGCAGGAGGCCGTGGAGATGCTGAATGATGTGGTGAAGGAGCGGGAGCGTGTCGTGGAGGCAGCGGCTGAGACTGACAGACTGCAGCGCCTGGTGAGGGGCCCAGCGTGGGGTGCCTGTGATGGGTGCCGGGGGTAGAACACACCCCCAGTGGCCATGCAGTGTAGCTGGCTCAGTCAGAGGTAACGGCAGGACAGCAGAGTCTGACTGCAAGGGGGCTCCTGTGTATAGTGCCAGCCTGAGAGAGTAGTGGTTAGAGCAGGGGGTGGGAGCTAGGACCTAGTCCTGACCTAGAGGGGAGTGTGTCCTAGTGGTTAGTGTCTGGGCGAGGAGCCAAGACTGAGGTAGCCGATGCTAGTACTGCACAGTTATCTGGCTCGCGCCCCATGTGAGGCCAAGGAAAGGGAACTTACATTGGGGTTCACCTCACTTCCCCCTTCCCCAGTTGGCCACAGTCTCCCCATGCATGGAGGCCTTTCGGTGCGGAGCAGAGGCGCTGGCCCGTGACCTCGCCCAGGTGGAGAGGAGCTTTGCCACAGTGAAGAGCAAGCTGGACCTGCAGGGGCTGCAGGGACTGTTGAGCCAGCAGCAGGAGATGGAGGTGAGTCCCCAGACTGCTGCTCTAAGCAGAGCCCTGCAAATCTGCCACTAACCGCTTCCTAGTCACCAGATGTGGCTGTGGTGTGGATATCCGCAGCCCATGGGGGCAGACACCGGTTTTGGAGCCAGGCAGGCTCCAGCTGTAAGTGGAGGCACTGGCGCCCTCTATTGCTTCCGGAGAGCTTGGCATGGCCCTGGCTCTGCAAGGCGTGTGGGAGCTAAGGGCTCCCCAAGGGTGTCAGCAATAGTGACCCTTGCCCTCAGGCCCCACAGCCATCAGTCCTGGCCTTTCATGGAGGGCTACCTGGAATCTTCCAGCTGACTCTAGTCCACTCCTGTTCACCGCCCCCCACCCGGGGGCAGGCAGGGAGAAGAGAAGGGATTGCAACAGCTCCTGTGCGCCAAGGCCTGGCAGCCAATAACTCACTCATCTTTCCACTCTGAATCCCCTTGGAGGAAAGCTGCACCATGCAGAGCAGAGCACAGTGGTGTGCTGGGAAACCTGGATCCCCCTTCAGCCTGCTGCTCCCTGTCGCCTGCACCCGCAGAGCACAGCTCCCCTGAGCACTCCCAGCCTGCTCCACAACGCCTGCAGCCGCAGAGCACAGCTCCCCTGTATTCCCCCCGCCTGCTCCCCGTCGCCTGCAGCCACAGAGCACAGCTCTCCTGTATTCCCTCCGCCTGTTCCCCGTCACCTGCACCCACAGAGCACAGCTCCCCTGCATTACCCCCGCCTGCTCCCCGTTGCCTGCACCCACAGAGCACAGCTCCCCTGCATTCCCCCTGCCTGCTCCCCGTCGCCTGCATCCGCAGAGCACAGCTCCCCTGAGCACCCCCAGCCTGCTCCCTGTTGCTTGCACCCGCAGAGCACAGCTCCCCTGTATTCCCCCCGCCTGCTCCCCGTCGCCTGCACCCGCAAAGCGCAGCTCCCCTTAGCCCCCCATCACATGTCACAGAGGAGAGATGATAAAGCAGAGGCTGCCCCTTGTCCAGTGGCTCAGGCTCTGAGCTGTATGCAGGAGGGCCAGGTATGCCTGTCTACATTAGCCTGTCCTGCGATGCTGTGATTTGAACTAGGGTCTAATGAAGCGATGGGCAACCTAGGCTAGTGAAAGGGCTGCATGAGAGGCCCTCTTTCATCTCAGTGGACCACTAGATTGTCTTAACCAAGACAGTTTCCCGGGAAAGGATAGTTTGGCTAACTGCACTTGTGTGCCTAGCATTTGCGGGATGCGCCGATTGACCCGTAGCGGGGCTTTGATTGGATGCGGAGGGAGCACACGGCTCTTACAGTCAGTGCTGTGTGCAAACAGCATGTACCGCACCTCACGAGCCTTTGCTTTGTGTGTGTGTCACTTTAAGTCAGTGGTTCTCAAAGTGTGGTCCACAGACCTATTGTCTTGCAGGTGGGCCACAGGCTTGGTGCTTGCTCCCCCTTGCAGCGGGGAGCTTGCTCTGGCGCGCCAGCCATACTCCTCATGTCCTGCGAGGTTGGAGCGCCAGCGCTGGCTTCCCACTGTGTGGAGGGCGGTTGAGCCTTGTGGGACAGATCTGGCTTGTGGGGGGAGAAACCAGCTCTGCACACTGCTGCTCCTCCCCCCCCTCTGCACACTGCTCTTCTGGAGGCTTTCTCCACTGCTCTCATTGGCTGGAATCACAGCCAATGGGAGCAGTGGGAAGCACAGAGCCAGGTAAGCACTTCCCATCCACCTCATGCCCAGATCCCACATCCCCATCCCCCTCTCACACCCAGACACTGCGCCCCCATCCCTCTTGCATCTCCCTTCCAGACAGACCCGCACCCTCAGTCTGCTCCTGCACCCATTTTGTCATCATGGGTGGCTGGCTGGTGGTGCACAGAAAGGTCAGTGTTGAGCTGGGTGGGACATAGGCCAAAAAGTTTGATAACCCCTGCTCTAAGTTATACCAGTTGGAAGAAAGTTAAGTGGACTGAAACCAGTGGAATCTGGCAACCCTTGTACATTGGCAACGATAAACAAAATATCTCGCAGGCCACATGTCGAACCCCAGTGATTGCCCACCACTAGCCTAATGTCTGACACTGCCCATCTCCCGTTGGCAGTGCCTGAGGGGAGTCAGCCCAGTGCTCTGCCCTGCTATGTTGATCCCCAGCCCTGATCTTTGGTCCAAGTGGGAGGGGAAGGAAACCCCTTTGGTGAGCCAAGTAAGCAGAGTTACCTGTGTTCCTTTCTGTCTCGAGGCTGAGGTGCAGAATCACACTCCGCCTGGGGAAGGGAGCTGGGCGCCTCCTGCTGAGAGGGTCTCCTTTAAGTGTTCAGAGTCCTTTTGTCTTGTGTCCCTAGTTCAACATATCTGAGGGCCTGGAGGAGAACATGGGGGAGCTGGAGAAGGCAGCCATGCGCCTGGACAAGTTCTGCCTGGCTCAGATGCATGACCTGGGCCAGCAGATCCAGGGGAGGCTGCAGGCCTGGAAGGAGTTGCAGAAGCTGGTGCTGGAAAACAAGACCCATGTGCAGCAGGCCTATCGGCTGCAGCAATTCTTTGCAAATTACTTGGCCATGATGTAAGTGGCTGCAGCCTGCCGGGCTGCCTTCCAGTAACTACTAGCCCTGTCCGGGGAGCTGGGAGCCAGGGAGAACAGCCTGTGGGCTGGGGCTCAGCTTGGGGTTGCTCTGTGGGGAGCAGGCTGTGGAGGGGCAAGGGGAGCTGAAAGAGCTCCCTGGGGAGACTCAGAGAAAGCCAGGATGTTTGGAATTTAAAGGGGAAGGGGTGCATGGACGCTAAGGTCTGCTGGGTGGCTCCCGGCTAGCTCAAGGCCGTGTGGCAGTATTGCAAGCCCCACACATGCAGAAAGCGCCAGGCACCCCGGCCCCCAGCACCAGGTTGGTGTTTTTCACCTGCCTTTGGATTTCTGAGCACACAGGCTGCCTGAGGCGGCTGCCACGGAAACTCCCCGTACTCTCTCCTAGCACAGCGGTGCAGGACCTGTCCCACCCTTTACCCCCTGCCTCTTTTCTGCCCCACCCATTCTCCTGTCCCTCCCCAGCTTTCCCCACCAGCTCCTGGCCCTTGCGTTCACCCCCCCTCGAGCTCTCCCATGCTCCCCTTCCCTGCCCCCTCACATCTTCCTGTGTTTGCTGCCGAGCCTGGTGGGGGCCCTCCTCTCCAAAAGCAGCCTGGCTGTAGGCCCAGTGAGAACTGTGGGGCCCCTCTTTACTGGGGAAGCCCGAGGGCCACTAGCAAAACAGTAGGTAGGGAAATGGCAGTCATCTTAACTAAGGGCAGCATGCATTTTCAGTTGAATTGAGAGCAGTGGCAGGCAGCGGCCATGTTCACTAAGGGCAGACATTCACAGGGACGTTACAGCAGTTCATGGGACTCTTTAACAACACAAGTGCCACAACAGTCGCAACAGCCTCTCTTCGTGCCTCAGCGTGGAGGGAGCCTCACGACTCCCTGCAGAGACTGAGTCAGAGAGAGGGCGTTGCCTCTGGCATTCCTTGTTGGTCACATCCATGGAGCAAGGGCAGTTCGTTGAAGGGGCGTTTTGTGGAGAGTTGGACTGAATGAAGAATCAGTTGCATGGAAGATCCGGTCCAGCCCGTGGTCTGCAGGGAGTTCTTCAAGACGGGGTGCGGAGTGGGGAGAGAGGAGAGGAGAGCACTGGCTACCATTTGGCAGCTACATTCCCGCCCATCGTCCCAGGAGCTCCTATGGCTCTGTCCCCTTGTCGCCGCAGCTCCTGGACAGAGGATACGAGGGCTCAGATCTTCTCCGAGAATGTGAGTGCCCATGGGCTCCTGGAGGCTCATTGGGAGGAGCTGGAGAGGAAGATTGAGGGCAAGTTCCAGGAGTTTGAGGAGCTGGCAGCCGCAGGGCAGATGCTGGTGTCAGAGGAGCACTACCTGAGTGAGACGGTAAGTGGGGGATGAGGCTGAGGGACACTTCACAAGCTCCCCAGTGAAAACCCTTGGGGATCAACCTCTGGCCTGGTACAGGACAGGCATGACCTGCCGGCTCATCAGTGAAGTGAGTTGGGGGTACAGGCCCCAGCAAAACCATTCACTTATGGGAGCCCTGGGAGACAGATTTGCCAGCAAGCCATGTCCGGAGGAGCCAGTCTCAACCACCCATCCTGTCAGGGGCCCACTGGGTGAAGGAAGCGTCTCACCCTGAGCCTAACCTCTTCTCTAAACCAAGCACAGACCTGCTGGGGCTCTGCTTCCTTCCCACACCTGGCCCCAAACGGCCGATTACAAAGTTGCTCCTGAAGCCAGCGCCTCTCTCCAGTCCCTGACAATGGATCCTTGGTGTCTCGCCACTCTCCCCACGGGACGCTCTGTGCCCGATCCCAGGCTGAGGCTGCGTCCGCGGAAGAGGGGGCTGGGGAAAGGTCTCACAGGAACCTGTTGGGTCTCTGTTCTCCCATTAGATAAAGGAGCGCCTGGAGGAGCTGCGGAGCATGCTGGGCTGGGTGCTGGTTCGCTGGCGCGCACAGAAACAACATTGGGAGCCTGGGAGCAAAAAGGACCAGGTCAGCCCTCTGGACTCCGTGCACAGTGTGTCCCCCAGCTGCCAAGTCAGTCTGTAGCTGCTGTCTGAGTCTGAGGGCAGGGACCGATCGGGACCATTTAAGGGGATGGCTTCTGGCCCAGCCCAGCTGCAGGGCCTCTCAGCACAGTGAAAGGCCTCTGCACGAGGGCAACATGGAGCAGGAGCTGGTACACAGGCAGTGTGTCTGCCAGGGCAACTCACATCAGCCATGATAGTTGCTTCCTTCCGGAGAATCTCAGGGTTGCCTCAGGCCTGATAGAGGAAGCAGAGGACCAACTGTCAGGGCTCTTGGGTTCTAACCCTGGCTCTGCTACTCACTCTGCGGCACTGAGTCACTTCCTGGGGCTGTGCCTCAGTTTCCCCACTTCATCGCAGGGATAAGACTCCTGATCCACCTCTCTAAGAGGGGGTGGAGGCTGTGAAGCCTGTAAAGCACTTGGAGATTCGTGCATCCAGCCTGGCACCCAGTGCTGTTGTGTACAGCATGTGAGTCCCAGGCTCCTAGGAGCCAGGTGTGGGGTGGCATGGAGGAGAGAAAGGAGGTGCACAGGACAGGGGCAGGCCAACCCACATCTTCACCATCTTCTATTGCTTCCCAGGACCCATGTGCCCAAGCAGCTGTGCCCGAAGCAGAGAGCGTTCCGGACCCTGACGCTTGTAAAGGGCCTCAGCCCACGTTGCGCTCCCTCGCCTCGCCGCAAGGGCCTGGGACCCAGCCCCTGAGGCGCGAGGGAGAAGTGGCCTCTCCTTCCGCCCCATCTATCCCAGATGCCCCGCAAGTGCCGGAGCAGAGCGGGGCCAATCCTGCTGACTCCATGCCACTGGAGGTGGAACCCCCCAAGGAGACTCTACTTCTGGATCCTTTAGAGACCCCTGTGCTGCTGATGCCACAGCCTGGGCCCAGCAGCCTGGGCGGGACAGTCAGCTTGATCCTGAGTATTGGCAAGAAGGGGGAGAAGAAGCTGCAGCTTGCGCAGGCTGGAGCGATGCAGGGGGAGGAGTCCCTGCACAGGGTAGGTGATGCCGCACTGGGGGGGCACGCAGTGCGAGGGGAGACTGGGGGAGCCTGAGCCTCGAGCGTGTCCAGCTGCAGGTGAACTCAGAGTGGTGGCTTTGTAGAGCTGGGAAATGCCCTGGTGCATGGCTAAGCTGGGGAGCCCCGGCCCTGCAGGGGAGGCCGAGCAGCAGAGGGCTCAGGAGATTCTCCAGTGCATGAAGAGCGAAGGAATTGGACCCTCTAGGGAGCCCCAGCCCAGCACGTGGGATGGCAGATGCAGCACAGGCTCCCTTGGATTTCAAGCAGGGGGCTGGCCTTGAGCACCGTGTTGCTCCTCTTCCTCTCCTCCTCCTCGCTGTACCAGGCCACCCTCAATGCTCTTTTTGTCTCTCTCTTTCCCCACACTCAGCTCCCTGGCATTAAACCCTCAGGCTGTAAAACCTTTTGGAAGCGTTGCCAGGGGCTTTTAGGACACACTTTGGGTAGTTTAAAGCGAAAGAAAAAGCCGTCCCGCCGGCCCGTGGAAGAGGTAATGTCCCAGGGGCTGCATGGCAGGCACGGGGGCTGCATGGCGTGAGCTTGCCCTATACTAACCCATGTCCCCATGCGTCCCTCTGTGTCCCGCTCTCCCCCGAGAGGGCAAGCTAAGGCTCATCCCCCTGCTAGAAGGGCTGCAGCAGTGGAGGGGGTGAACAGGGAGGCCACCATGCAATGCTGATAACCTGGCCACAGGAATAGGCCTCCCAAAGGCTGCCTTGAATTCAGGAAAGTGCCGATCCATTCCCTCCGCCGGGGAAGATGGAGGCTTTTGCCAGCATCTTCTCCCGGCCTCGGGGTGCACAGACCCAGTCGGGGTAGTCAGTTTATTTTTTGTCAACTTCGAAATTCCTGGGTTAAGATATAGTCAAGTTCCAGACTCCAGAGCGCATACTAACAAAGCAATAGCAATAACGATAATAGTAGGTAAATACAAAGATTTCAGGCCCCAGTCAAAAGCAGCTGGCAGTCTGTATTTGGCCCATCCTCCCATCCAGTGGGAAAGGCCAGGAAACTCTGAGCATGGAAAAGAGTGGAGGTGACTTAGAGAAAGGAAAAGGTGCTTTCACTGACTGGTGGGGAATGTAAGGACAGAGCAAGTCCCAAGTGCTTGAGTCCTCTCACTTGGTACATACATGAGGGAACAAAATCCCAGCACCAGGGACCAGCAATGACTGAGGCTCCTTTGCTAGATGGGCTCCTGCCAGCAAAGGATGCAGGGAGGGGATCTGTGCTGTTTGAACCGTCCAGCCTCTGCTGTAGTGGGGCAGCCAGACAGGACATCTGGGGCTCTGCATCACAACTTGCAACCACCAGCCTCTTTAGATGTATTATAACAGGGGGGTTGAGTTCACTGCTGTGAGGGTCCAGTCAGGGCAAACTGCTTAGAACCAGGGCTGCTTACAGCCCAAGATTGGGGTCCTCTGTAAGGCACACCAAACTAGTCACAAAGAGCACCTCAGCTGCCAGTCTGGCCAGCAAGAAGTCACACAAGCGATCCCCTTGGACACGCCAGCTTTGTCTGTGCCACAACCAGCACCACACCTTCCACAGATGAGGGGTTATGAAAACCTGAGTCACCAACTCCAAACAGGTTCTACTGATCCCAAAGGACCAGCCACGTTTCTAAGTCAGTTTATATCTTAGATCGGTGTTCCCAAACTTTTTGACATGGGAACCAGTAAATCCATTCACGAGCTTTTGGAGGACCAGTAACATTCATTTAATCATAGAATCATAGAATACTAGGACTGGAAGGGACCTCGAGAGGTCATTGAGTCCAGTCCCATGCCCTCGTGGCAGGACCAAATACTGTCTAGACCATCCCTGATAGACATTTATCTAACCTGCTCTTAAATATCTCCAGAGATGAAGATTCCACAGCCTCCCTGGGCAATTTATTCCAGTGTTTAACCACCCTGACAGCAAATGATGAATATGGAAACAAGTTGTTTCTGGTCCTCTCAACTCCCCCAGTGCCAGCTTTAGCAAAGCTTTTGATATGATCACTCACAATATTCTTGCCAGCAAATCAAGGGAATGTGGATTAGATAAATGGACTGTAAGATGGATAGAAAGCTGTCTAGACCAGGATATCCCAAACTTGACTGGTCCCAGATGAGGGATTTTTTGGACCGGGGAGGTCATTTCAGGGCTCCTGGTTCCTTCCCTACCCACTAGGCTTCTTTGTACCTCCCTCCCCTGCAACCCAACTGAGCTGCCCACCCCTGCTGGTTCCCTGCACCTCCCCCAAAACCATCCCCCACAATCCAAGGGAGTGTAGCCCCTCACAGCCCAGCTGAGCTGCCCTTCTGTTCCCTATGCCTTCCCCCATCCACCTCAGCCCAGTTGAGCCCCACACTGGTTCCCTGCATGCCTCCCCCACAGCACAGCTGAACCCCGTTTCCCTGCACCTCCCCCCCAAACCCTGCAAAACTACTGAGCCCAGCTCTGATTTCCTGCCCATCCCTCCCCTTGAGTCTAGCCCCGAGTTCCCGGCACCTCCCTCCTCCTGCAGCCCAGGTGAGCCCAGCGCCCCGCACCTCCTCCACCCACAGCCCAGCCCGGCACCCCCCCTAGTGTCAGAGGAGTAGCGAGGGTGTTATGTGCCCGGGGGCAAAAGCAAAATTTGTGCCCCCCCCCCGCCCCGCTGCCACCATGGGGCAGGGCCCTGAACCTGGCGCATAGCTGAGCCGGATCCCGAGAGGAGGTGGGGAGCTTGTACTGCATCTTCCCCCACCCCCTCTAGTTTGGGGCAGGCCCCCCGCATGCACTATCCACAACAACACATGGAGCGAATCGATCACCTCAGTAATGCCAACTCCTTTAGAATTGAGGCCCGGATTATCCAGCACAAGTTGAGGTAGAGAGGGCACTGTGTGCACATATCTGATATATTGTTACCAAAACTGCTGCCTGCCCAACTTGCCAAAGGAGAAAGGAAACAGGGAGGCCAACAGGAATGATTTGGAACAGTTTCTCAACCTTTTTTTATAAAGTACCCCCCCTTAAAAAATTATCAGTACCCCCAGCACAGTTTTCAGGTACGCACAAAATGTTTTTACCATTGCAACACCTTTGTTTAAACAACTTAATCATAGCTGGGTGGGTGATAAAATGTTGAGGTGTAAAAAGTTCAAAAATAATCAAGTTTTCTCCAAATTTCAGTTGTGCTGATGTACCCTCCAGACTTCTCTCAAGTACCCCAGCATTCTACTGGTTGAGAAACACTGGTTCAGAGCAGTGTTTTTCAACTTTTTTTATAAAGTATCCCATTTAAAAATTATAAGTATCCCCAATGCACCCACCCCTCCCCCAGATCCAGGCATCCCCAGCCCCCCTGCTTCAACCTAATGCCCCTTCTGCCCCAGAATACCCCCCTCCCGCTGTAATCCAATGCTCATCCCCCAGAGCCAGGCACCCCCAGCTTCCCTGCCCTAGCCCAATCCCTCTCCCCCTTCCGCAGAGCCAGGCAGGGTAACCCTGCCTTTAAAGTTGCTGCTCCTGCCGCGCCCAGCCCACCTGCTCCAACCTAATGTCCCTTCTGCCCCAGAACACCACCCACCCCACTCTAATCCAATGCATATCCCCCAGAGCCAGGCACCCCCAGCTTCCCTGCCCTAGCCCAATCCCTCTCCCCCTTCCTCAGAGCCAGGTAGAATAACCCTATCTTTAAAGTGGCTGCTCCTGCTGCTTGGCCCTGCCTCGGAGGGTTGATTGCACAGGAAGCATGTGGCCCAACAGCGCTCGTGTAATGTAGAAAGCTGCTACCTTAGCGGAATGTGCTACTGGTAGCATTTTCTTATCAGTACGATTGTAAGGAAATGCTCCTATAGGAAACTGCTACCAGAAGTAGCACAATCCTACAGGGAGCATTTCCATTCAGACCAGGTTCGCCGCTCGCCGCAACTCATGGTGCTGTGCGCTCTGCTCCCACCCCAGCCCAGCACCCCCCTAGCATGATGTCCGGGGACAACTGCCTCCCCGTCCCTCCCCCTCGCTACGCCTCTGCCTAGAGTGGCGCCCAGGGGCAACTGCCCTCCCCCCACTTCCCCATCGCTACGCCTCTGTGCTGGGAGCCCAGAACATCCAGCTGCATCCTCCGCCCAGCCTGGTCTAGGGCTTGGGGGACCCGGTGCTTCATGGGCACTCGGGAAGCCTGGAGCACCCCAGCAGCCACGCTGAGGCCTGGTATATTTTTCCCAGGGCCCAGTACCGGGCCGTGGCCTTTAGTTTGGGAAACGCTGCCTTAGATCTTACCAGAAAGAGCATGCCGTGTTAGTCCTTTAGAATCTAATATCTAAACGTTTGTTAATAAAATAAAGAAATAGGTTGAGAGTAGAATTGTTAAAGAAAGCACATTCCATACATCAGTCACCAAGTTCTCGATGCAGGCTCTTAGCAGAGCTGTAACAAACTGCTAGCTTAAAAATCTCTGGAGTAGAACCTACGTTAGGATGGGTCAACAGATCCTTCCAGGCTCTCTGTCCATAGCGAAGATGCTTCTGAAGTGAAGGACAGGATTGAAGACAAAGATGGAGGAATCCTCAGGATCCTTTTATAATCTTGCCCATGTGGAGGGAAATCCATTGTTCTCCTGAGTGATGGTACCTCCCAAACTGGAGCTGATCACATGATAAACTAACCTGTCCACGTCCTTTTTAGGTCAACAGCCATGGTATGTCCTTTTTAAGCAAGGGGTTATTGTGTACTCCTCAGATGTTTACTGGCAACACTCGCGAGCCATTGTCCATGCAGCATAGCTATTTACTGGGTCACCACCCCTACCACTGTCTCCCAGACAGAAAACATTTAAAATACAAGTACAGAGCCGAGATTCATATCTTTACATACAGAAATCATACATGTATATGAACAGCACAAACAGAATCAGCGTGGCAGAAGCTTTCATTCTATACCTCGCGTGGCTCACTTTGCCCAGGATGTGAGGCAAACACACAACAGTGGGTGCAACAATGATCAGCGCTTTCCTATTAAAATCCAATAATGTCACAGTAGGTAGCTAGGGGCAGCCAACTGCATTGCATCGCCCAGCATGCCAAGCCACTAAGCTCCCTGGGAGCACTGCATGCTGGGACCTGTAGCCTGCAGGTGATGGGGGACACAGTTAGGAGCAGCCTTGGGCTGCTGCTGAGTTAGCTGTGCAGCTCCCGTTTAGGCAGCATTGGGCTGGCCCTGCACTAGAACTGGACTGTGGGAGCTGGTCCCAGCAATGAAGCCAAGAGACTGTAATATCCTGGAATGTCTCTTAGGCTGCCTGACTCCCTTGGCCACTGTGTGATGAGAATGAGGCTTACTGTGATGTGTGAGTGAAAGCTGGGCAGGAGGAGCCCTGTGCCAGTGCATGCCATTAGCCCATCTGGAGGGAAATCCATTGTTCTCCTGACTGATGGTACCTCCCAAACTGGAGCTGATCACAGACCAGGAGCAGTTCTGGGGCCGTGCCCAGCTGGGCAGGCTTGGGCACTGGTGACTGAGCAGTTGGACGGGTGGGTCTCACGTCTTTCCACCCTTGTGTTTCCCAGGTGAGCACCTATCTGCAGGTGAAGGAGAATGAGGGGGCTCAAGAGGCTGCCCCTAGGAGCTCGACCGTGCCCCGGCCAGCCAAGCGAGCACCCACCAAAGCTCAAGCTTCTTTGGTCCCAAGCCCTGGGCCTGAGGCCACCTTCCACACCCTGCCCAAGATCAGCTCCAGCTCCCTCTTCAGCAGTCCGAAGAGAAATGGGCAGAGAAAGGCAGAGGACGCTCAGCTGCAGGACATCATGGGGGCAGGCCCCAGCAGGCTGCAGTCTTTGCTGGAGGAGAAGCACAATCCCAGCAACACTTGGCCTTTGAAGTGCAGCAGTGGGAAGAAATTGGCAGGGAGGGCGCCGAGCCCCAGGCTTGGGCAGCTGCAGGACCATGAGAAAAACCCACTGGGGAGAGCCTCTGAGGCAGACCGTGGCACTGTCAGGGCAGCATCACTTGGTCCCAAAGCTGAATTCCTGAGGCAAGGCTGGGGGGCCAGCAGTTCCCAACTGGCAGTGGCGAAGAGTGCTTGCCGGCACCTTTCCCTGGGGTCTGTCCTGAGCTTGGAGCTGCCCAAGGACCTTGGTCTCCTTGGTGATGTCCAGGATGCCATTACAGTAGTGCAGAAAGAGGTGCCAGGAAGGGAGGAAGTTAGGCAGAATGGCGGGGTGATCCCGTGGGACCCCAGTGGGGCAGAGAGGGAGGCAAATGGTGCCAGCCCTTGGAAGGAGACTCGGAGCCAGCCACTGGCCACATGCCAAAGGCCCAGCAGGCCAGAAGATGCTTTCCGGAAGGCTCTGAAGAGCGAGGGAGGCACCTGGTTCGAAGAGGTGAGCTTCAACCCAAGCTACCGCAGGCCAAAGGCACATGGCATGGGAGCCACCCCCTGCGTGGAAGAACCATGCACTCCCAGGAGCCAGGGCAGCGGCGGGGATGATTTCCTGGACTTCAGACTCAACCGGCTCTCCCGGATCAGTGTGCTGCACGAGCAGATTGGCCGCGAGTGGGACAAGCTGGCAGCCACGCTGGGCACTGGCAGGGCTGAGAAGCCAGCAGGCTGCAATCCCAGACTCGGAGAAGCAACCAGGGCAGAGTTCAGGCCTTCTCCCACTACGCATGCGAGTGGCACAGGAGGGGCCCCCAGCATAGCCAAACCCGAGCACCCCACAGAGAATGGCAAGCTAAAGGCAGATCCCCCAGAGCATCAGCCGGAGCCTGCCCCCTTCAGGGAGGCCTTGGAGGAAAGCCTGGTGACACGCCCTAGACGGTGTACGAACCTACCAACCCTGCCGCCTGTGTCTGAAAGCGAGCTTGGCTCCCAGCCGCGTGACGTGGCGTGGTCTGGGTTAGACCTCCAGGGCCTGACCGCAGACATCAGGGTGGCTGGATCAGGGCTGTCCAAAGGGGCAGATCTCCCAGGCTCAACAGAGGTTTGCCACCCCGACCACGAGCTGTTTGAAGAGGAGGAGGAAGAGCTGCGGGCCATCTGGAGGAATGTGGAGGCGCACAACAAGCAGAGCCCCTGTGCAGACTCTGACGCCCACCCCACACTGGGGAACAAGGCAGACAAGGCGCAGAGCCCGGAGGTTTCCAGTGGGAGACTGATCCTAACATCAGCAAATAACATGCTGGTGGCCAAGTTCACCCTTCCCACGTCCAGCCAGCTCCTTCAGAGCCCAGACAGAGGCACCAGAGATGGGCACAGTGGGGAGGGCAGCCCACGTGGGTTCTGGGCATCCCTCCCCTGTCAAGATGCACCACGTGGGGCAAAGGAGGCTGTATCCGTGGGCTCAGTGGAGGGCACCTGCCCTCAGGACCAGCAGGAGCATCAGGAAGAGGACAGAGACATTCGCAAGGTTTGTGCACTTTGTGTACTGTTCCTTAGGGCCTGGGGGAGACCTGCCAGGTACCCGCTGGCCCCTGTACTATCCCTTCACATGCCCTTGGGCACGGCAGCAGCGGGGCCAGATAGGTAGATATTCCCTGCTTTGTGCCAAGCCTCCGAGCCCTGGTTCCCTGGCTAACCTGCACTGGCCACAAAGGGCCACTCGCATGTGGGGCTTAGCTGGCCAGCCAAACTCCCTCTGCAGCCGATGCTAAGGCTTAAAGCCAAACCTCACCCACAGCCATCAACAGGGTCAAACCCAAGCCTTTCAGCACCAAAATCACGTCCTCCTGTCTCCTCAGCTGAAGCAGTAACTCTGTTAGCTGAGCTATAGCACGCTGGACCGGGTGCAGAGAGTGGACACTAGAGGGAGATGCCGTCCCACGCTCAGTCTAATCCAGTGGCTCTTAACCTTTCCTACTGGCCCCCTTCCAGGAGGCTCATTTGTCTTGCGTACCCCCAAATTTCACTTCTTGCTTACAGGAGTTAACATAAAACCACAAAAGTGCCCCGGCACACACTGGTACCGAACAGTCCCGTACGTGCTCATTTTACCACATAACTAAAACAACATGACTGGGCGATAGCTGTACTCACATAGTACAGCGAGCCGGATCAGCAAGTCTCTGTGTGACACTTTCGTTTGTACTGTGCTAGTGGTTTTTCCATTGCCTGTTGTGAAACTAGGCAAATATCTAGATGAGCTGCTGTACCGCCCGGGAGGGCTCCTTTAGCGTGGGCCAGAGGGGCTGTGTTTTGGAAGTGAAAGGCCGGGTTCTCGTCCTGCAGATTTCTGCAGCAAGGTGAATTTGTTGCCCTGTCGAGGGTGCACAGGGCTTATGGCAAATCCAGGCCAATGTGAGGAAGATGGTCTCTGTGCTGTGGTTCTTTTGGTGCTCTGCAATTCACTGCTGTCTTCTGGTGCCAGAGGCCCTCAGTGGTGCTGGGAAGAGCCACGTAGCTAGTGGGTCAGGGATACAGGATTGCATTGCACAGCACCACAGTGTTACCTCTGAATATGTGCAGCACTGCACATCTCTACTAGTCCACAGCATATGGCCCCATCAGAACACACATGGTCCTGTTACAAGTCATGCCACTGACGGACACTAGCCCCAAATGACCCATTTGCCATGCAGGCCTCAAGTTATACTCCTGGGAGTCTGTGGGACCCCCTGGATTGATGGCTGCCAGGGACTACCCTTCCCACTGCCCAGTGGGGATGGGGCTGCTTTGCTCATTGTCTGTCTCCTTGCAGACTCCCCCCAGTAAAGTGGAGTTCCAGATGATGGAAGGGACTCTGGAAAGGAAGCACGTGCTGCAGACGGGAGGCAGGAAGGTACAGTTGGAGCTGCTCAGCCTTCCCCATGGGCCCTGTGATGTACCAATGCATTTTTCTTTTTTGAGCCCTCTCTAATCACAGCCATGCCACGTTAGATACGCCACGCTCAGGGCTCCCAAGGGCATGGCGAGGCACCTGAGGCAGTGGCTTGCTTCTCAAAGGGGCTGTCAACCAGCAACAGCCGCTCCCTTCACTGCGTGGCACAGGGTGCGCAGCACTCCTGGCGCAGTAGCCAGGCTTCACACATAGGGACCTCATGGGACGCCCCCGCTGTTGGACATCTTGTCTCCTGTTTTGCAGGTAACATGGAGAAAACCCGCAAAGGGCAGATTCTGCCCATCTAAATAGTTCCCTGAGCATTTCTCCATCTGTTCCCCAGCTGTGGAGCTGGGGGTTGATTTCCCAGCTGTCCAAAGCATTTCCTGCTGGTCCTGTTTGCCTTCTGTCCAAGCAGGGTAAGCCAGGGCTTCATCCCTGTTTGGAGGCCAGTTGTGTAACACTTCGGTGCCTGGTCATAGGACCTAAGCAGCTGCTGAGCTGTTATTCAGCATTCCCTAAACACTGGAAGCATTTCCCAGGGAAACTGACCCTGGACAGCATGGAACTAGCGCTTGATAGTCCTCAGGATACCAGCCATTGGCAACAGCTTCTAAGAGTGTACTGCCCTGCTCAGACCCTGCCAACCGATGGCCGTGTGTGAGAGTCAATCCTGAACATGCCTGGTGACATGCCACGAACAGAGAGGAATTAGTGCTTGGACATCGAGGGCCTGGTCTTCAGCTTTTGTAAATTGGTGCAGGTTCATTGAAGTCAATGGGCCATATCCTCAGCGGGTGTAAATCAGCGCAGCTCCACAGAAGTCAGCAAAGCTCCATACTCCTGGGCTAACAGCCCCCAAATGTTCGTTTGCAGGATAGGGGTGTAAGCAACTAGTTGACTACCCGATATACATAAGCTTATCAGATAGTCAAGTAGTCACTCAACTAGTCGCTTCCCCCCTCCCCCCGCCTTGCTGCCTCTATCAGAGAGAGGCAGCAGGGGGAGCTGGCTTAAAAGCTGGTTCCCCCCCAGCACTGTCTGGAAGAGAGGCAAGGGAGAGGCGCAGTGGGATAGCAAGTGCGCCCCTTACCGACTGATTGAGTAGTTGATGGAAATTCCGTCGACTACTCGATTAGTTGATTAATTGAAATTTAACATACCTACTGCAGGATCGTAGGGAGGGAGCTGCACTAAAGTGAGCTCTGCTAGGGCTGTTTTCTGCAGCATTGTGAGTGGGCTGCGTAGGGACTGGCAGGCACTAAGTCTCCTCCCTTCTGCCTGTGGTCTCAGGAAGCTGAGGGCTTTTGAGGGATGATACATGGGAATGTGAGCCACAGGATTTACCTGAACTCCATCTCAAAGGAAACCAGTCTAGGCCCAAACCAGACACTTGCTGCTCACTCCACCACCATAGCTGCGCTTGGGAGCAGTCTCGGTTCAGCCGTCAGAGTGCTGGGCCTGTGCTAACTGCTAACTGCAGACAAGGACAGGCGATACTTTGCCCCACCTGTGTCAGCATCGTTCCCAAATTAAGTAACTCAGGTTTGTATCTCTTAGCCTGGGGCCCCAGCCTGCTGCGCCCATGGTCTGCAGGGCTAGCTGTACACATCGGGGGCTCCTGGGACATCAGCTGTCTTCAGTGCTGCTGCTGGAGAAAGGTGTTGGCGGGGAAGGGGAATCTCACTCTGACCTGGCACACGGGTACCTCTCCAGATTCCTGACCTGTGTGGCAGTGCCACAGGGATCTCTGGGGACATCTGCTGCTGTTTACCTCTCACTAGCAGGTGACCAGATAAGCTCCGCATCCGAACAGGAGCAGTTCCAACGCCTGGCACTCTCCCTGGAACAAGGGCAGAGATGCAGGGTGGGTCTGGCCTTTGGCCTCACCTTTGGCCTCTGCCTCTGATCTCATAGGCAACCTGTCGCACCTGGCACCTGTTCCACGCGGTGCTGATGAGGCAGACGCTGTGCTTCTACCAGGACAGGAAGGATACTCTCAAGGTACGGCGGGCAGCCGGCCCCTCCCAAAGACGGGGGGAGGGAGGGAGCCTGACCCTGAAGGTGGAGCAGTGTCCACTGGTGAGGGCAGGAAGAATGAGAGTTGGGGCTTCTGGGTTCTGGTCTTGGCTCTAGTGGGGGATGAGCTCTAGTGCGGGCAGCAGTGGTTGAAGAACTGGGGGTGCCAGGACTCAGAATTCTTGGATTCTGTTTCTGGATTTGCCCCTCATTTGCTGCGTGACCCGGGGCAAGTCTCTTCTTCGTGCCTCAGTTTCCCCCACCTCCAATTGCAGAGCAGCACTGACACAGCTGCCAAAGGCTGTAGAGCCTTGTGCATGAATGCCAGCGAGTGCTGTGAGGAGCGAATCATCATCAGTGGCAGGGGGCTGCAGAAAGCAGGGCTGGGGAAATCAGCCCCTCTCCTCTCAGCCAAGACATGTGGCTGAGGCGGGGGGGCGGGGCGCTCCAACAGGGAAGCAAGGATCTCTAGGAAGATGGCAGGAGCTGAAAGGAGAACCAGGGTCTCTTGCTCTCCAGCCTGCCTCTCGGTGCCTGGCCTATTGCATTTGAAGGGGCAGGACAAGTCTCCCACCAATGCAGGAGTCCCCGGCCGCTACCCCAGGATCCTGCAGGGTCCTCTGCTGCAACTGGCCTCTGGCAGGCCATTGGGGGCTGGAGCATGGGGTGCTCCTCCTAAGGGCTGCATTGCTGTGAGCCTGGGAGGTGGCCTTGGTTTCCCAGACTCTTGTTGATAGTGGCACTGCATCCAGCGGGAGGGGCTACAGACTCAAAATGCTCCCCTTAGGTGAGTATCCCAGACAGCCACTGAGTGGCACCCACAGGAATTCACTCGCCTTTCACACCTGCATGGTGCTGCCAGCTGCCCTCACAACCCCGGTCTCTGCCCCTCACGGTGTCACCGTCCTGCAGTGTTGGTGTCGCGCTGCCACCCGCCCTGGGTACTTCCAGCCTCTAGAGCTTAGCACGGCATTGCTGCTCAGCCGCCTTGTCTTTCCTGAGCTATTGCCCCCTTCTGGCGCAGCAGCGACCTCAGAGCAGGGTGGACACGCGCTAGTTGAGTCACAGGTACGAGGGAATCCTGCTAGGCCTCACGGTCGTCTTTGCTCTCCCTTGTGCTGCAGAGCTCTGTGGTGGCCTTGCCCCTGAACCTCTTGGGAGCACAGTGTGCCCGGGAAACAGAGTACACCAAAAAGACCAACTGCTTCAGGCTACAGTGAGTAACCCCGGCCAGGCAATTCCACAGCACCTCAGGGAGAGTGGGTGGGCCCATGAGTCCAGTGCCCCCTGCTGGCCAGCTCATAGTGCTGTGCTGCAGGCCCTCAATTCAGTGGTTCTCAAACTGCAGTCCGCAGACCACCAGGGGTCCACAGCTACCTTCCAGGTGGTCTGCAGCTCAAGCTCCGCCCCCTCCTCCTCCCTCCTCACTGCAGTAGGGAGCCGGGGCTGGTGCTCCAGCCTCTCAACCCCCTATGAGGTTGGAGTGCCAGTGCGGCTTCCACTGCGGGCGGGGGGAGAAAAAAAAAACAGCCTCCCTGCTGGACCCCTAGTTTGCAAAGAAGCGGAGCTCGAAGCATCTCCACACGCTGCCATCCCCCCATCTCCAGCTGGGGGAAGAGCAGTGCACGGACACGCTGCCTGGAGGTTTTCCCCACTGCTTCCCACTGCCTGGGAGCAGTTCACAGCGCAAAAACAAGTAGGTGCCCCCCACTCCCTCATGCCCAGATCCTGCACCCCCAGCCCTCTCATGTGCTCCCACTAAGATCCTGCACTCCCAGCCTCATTGTGCATCTTCCCTTGCTCTTGCTCCCTTCCCCCTGGTCAGACATCCTATTTCCACCTTGGTCCTGCACCCTACCTCCCACCCAGACCTTGCACCCTCACTGCCTCCTGCACGCCACTTCCCATCCAGATCTTGCACCTCCATCCCTACCCCACACACTGAACCCCTCATTTTTGTCTCCACCCCAGAGCCTAGGAGGGTCCACTAAATCCGCCAACCCTGGAACTTCAGCAGAGTAAACATGGCCTATAGGAAGCCCTGAACCTCGGTCCTCCCTGCCTCTGCCCCTCCCCCCATGGGGCTGGAGCACAAGAGGAGTGAGATGTCTTAGTTGGGGGCCACGTCAGTGAGGCCTGGGGGTTTGGGAGTGGGTTTTTTGCTTCTCACTTATGTGATCCCTAACTGATTTTTCTGTGGGTCAGTAGCCCCCGACCCAAAGAAGGCTCCCCACTGCTGCCATAAGTAAAGAAAACTTTGAAACCTTTTGTGTTGGACATAAATTAATATTTTACATTATTTAAAATAAAGATTGATAAACTAACCTGAAAAAGTTAAAGCACTTGACCTGTTTAATAATTTAAATTCATATTTCCTTTCTTACGGGTTAAATTAAACTGTTCTCCCTAGCAAAATGGCTTGGGCATAATTATATAATTAATGGCAAGTTTCCATTAGCGACTGATGGTCCGCAGAAAGATTTATATTGAGCCAGGTAGGCCATGGGCCAAAAAGTTTGAGAACCACTGCCTTAATTGGCCACTTGAATAGACAGATAATGGTAAGCTGGCAACTCCAATGAAATGCTAGCCTCAGCATTGGCTAGGGGCCAGGTTTCCTTGCCCTGTGGCCTGGAGCCCAGAGGGTGTGAATATGGGGTTCCAGCATAATGTTATCCTGTTATCATTTTACTGACACGCTCTTTTCCGCCCAGGCTGCGGGATGGCTCTGAGTACCTCCTGAGAGCTCCATCCCAGCTGCTCATGAGCCAGTGGGTCTCCAAACTGCAGCAGAACTCAGGTGAGGCACCCTCCAGCCACTGACAGAGCCAGAGGAAGTGCAGTGATGGAGCAGTGAAGGGCATGGGCAGAGCTGTGTGTGGGGAGCCCAGGGCTGGGATAGCAGGGGGCTGCAGGGCAGGGGGAGGGGCACTGGCAGAGCTGTGTGTGGGGAGCCCAGGGCTGGGATAGCAGGATAGCATCAGTTTAACTGTGCAGGAAGTTTTGTTCTCTGCTTTCATTGCCTCACTCTCACCACAAGCTGATAATCTAATATAGAAGCAGCAGCACGGAATGGCAGGGGGTTCCCCAGACGTGGGGCCAATAGTGCACTGGCTGCCGGCTACACCTCTGGGGAATATTGAATAGTCATGTAACCACTAAGTTTTCATGCACTTACATTACTATTCAGTTACACACTGACATCTCTAGTATTGTGCGTGAATTGCTGTGTGTAGACCACCCCACACCCATTACTATCCCTCAGTGAGACTATATGCTTGGGCTCTGCAGGGTATGTTAAGCAGACTTTGACTGAAAGTTAGACTAAATGTGGATGAGTCTGGGGACTGGAGGCTGCTGATGTGAGAGAGAGAAGCTGGAGACAGTAGGATGGGAATATTGCAGTTAGCAAGGACATGATGCCGTTTTGGTTTGGTTAGAACTGCTATAAGCAGGGCTTGTAATGAGCATTTTTGAGGATTGTGAATGTTTTATTCCAATTCTGTCTTTATTGATAGTATGAGAAGGGCCTGGGTTCAGATGTTAATTTATATAATGTGTAATGTAAAGAGCCAATAAGGAGGTGGAGGAAATATAATTCAGGGAAGAGGCACTGTGAAGTTATGCAGTATGATAATGGATTACAAAAGGAATCATTTTATTCCTTTGAGAGGAGCTCTAATTAACGTCCAAAGGGACTTCACTGTACTAATGATCTAATCTCTTACTGATACACCATTTCATTTTTGCATGTAAGTAGAATTGTGGTGCTGTGTAAATGGTTATCACCTCCCCCTTTGCTTAGTAAAGCGTTTTGCTTTTGAATAAGGGTTAGCTTCATCATTCTAAGTGTCTCCTAGTGGTTCTCTACAAAATATATTTTCTGTAAATGACCTATATTTTTTGCATCCTTATCTTTAATGAATTCATATTAACTGGAAACATTTCAACATAAAGTCACAGCTCACGGACAGACATTGCCCCAGCCCATCCCACATGCCCAAGGCAGCCTCCATAACCTATTCCCCAGACAAGAACCTCTGCTGTTGACCCAACACTGAGCACAGAAAGGCAAACCCGGACCAGTGCCGAGCACCCTGTATTGTCAGCACCTTAGCCCCAGGTGGTTCAGCCCACCATGGCACGAGATGGGCCCTACCATCTGTGGATTTCAGGATGCTTAGTGCTGGCTCTTCTCCACATTATCAATAGGTATTTGCTTTGCCCACAGGTTTCCCTGAAGTGGATTATTTCCAGGCAGTCACCCAGCCTGCCGAAGGGGCCAGTTCTGCTCCAGGGTGAGTGCTGGAAAGCCCCATCCCGTCAGTAACAGCTGGTGGTTAATACTTAGCAGTCAGAACCACCCATGTGGGCCTCTGCTGATCCAGTGAATTAGCTGCAGTGCTCAGGCCAAGTTTCCCTCTATTACCTGCCTATGTCTCTGACCTCTCCCCACATTCCTTTGGCTATTGCCCTAGCCTCGCTGGAGTGCACAGCTCTTCCCAGTTTAGTGTCCCCTCCCAGCACCATTAAGCTTCTTGGGCCATGAAGAAGCTTCAGGTGAGCCAGGCTGTGGCCTACATTATATGCCTCCCCCACTCAGAGCACCCAAGTAGGGGTCCTGTCCAAGCTGGCTTGAACTCTGTGTGTGTCCGATTGCAGGTGAGACCAGCTCACTAAATCTGTCTCTCTACCGCTCCCTTTCATTCCCAGACCCAGCAAGATCTGTGGGCCTGGAAGCGCCAGCAGTTCCCACCTGCTTGAACATCATCAGCCTGTTACAGCCAAGAACCAAGAGATCACGTTGCTGCCCAAATTTAGGGCCAGGTTGCAGCCATGTTATGGGACTCAGGAGGACTCACTGGATTCTGCAGCCTCCCAAGCAGGTGGGGGGGGAGGGGGGGGCGGGGCCTGGCTCAATCTCCCTTGCTCCCTGTGGCAAAGCAGTGCTCCTCACATTACTCCATCACTCCTGGGTAGGTGGCTCCATAATAAGCCCTGCCTGAGCCAGAGGTTCTAGCATCATGTCCTGAGTCCTTCCACCAGCAGGGCTTTCCTGCACGTTCTCAGGCCGGGCTGGTACGAAGCCCGTGTGAGCGACACCAGCCATTGTGTGGTGGGAGGAAGCCAAGCTGAGCGGGAGACGCTAATGTCCTCAGGAGCCTCTCTCCAGCTGGAGAGACACCATGGAGTTTGAGCAAGACAGCTGAGTTAACTGCCCCCCCCCCACCCACTTCTGTGCACATGACCCCACTTGCCCTGTGCTGGGGCACTGAGATCACAGGAGCGTGTGCCCCCTGCTGAGCTACACACCCCACCAGCCTGCAGCACAGCACCTCCTAGTATTGTGCTGGGTCACTGCTACTCAGGAGGGGAGAGTCGCTTACGCTCCCTTCTGCAGCCCCTGGTTTTAACTTGAGTCTCTTGGCCAAATGCCAGGCCTCACCCTGTCTGTTGAGCTGGGGATTTTGTGATGAGGAGGCTTGTGCCATCAGTGCCTGGACTAAGAGCCATCAGCTTCCCTTGTGCTATCTAACAGGAAATAGGGCTGGGGCACTCCTGACCAGGGCTGGTTTGGGACCGATCTCCAGAGGAGAAAGGTCCCATCTTCCACTCCCATCACCACCCTGAGTTGTACAAGTGTCCGGGGGTGCTTTGGGGCTGGCACAGTGGCATCCTGTTGTGATCTTGCATCGTCATGTGTCGCATCAGTGTAACGACAGCACCCCTGTAATGGGCTGAGCTTGTGCTAGGGCAACCTGTGCTGAGGAAGGAGGGACCCTTAGCTTTTGTCTGTCTGTCTGTCTGTCTGACATATATAAGCTCTTACCCTTGCATTTCTCATTGCTGTATTAGGAGATAATCCCAGACCCGACAGCCACACAACAGGGCACAAGCAGTGCCAGTGGTTGCGTGCTGGGTCCCCAAGGCCCCAAGAGGATGAGGATGCGCTGGTGACACACAAGAGGAGGTCCCACTCATTCACCTCAGGTATGCAGCACAGGGAGACTGGGTTAGCGGCAGGAGCAAGGGACTGGGAGCCCCCGGGCAAGCCTCTATTCCTGGCTCCTACCCTATATCTCATTCCCCAAAGCCCCTTATCCAGACAGTCCCCCTCCTGGGAGGCCATACTGGAGCTGGAGCCCTGCTAGGGAATGCGCTCGTACCTCCTGAGAAGGAATTGAGGGACTGTGAGCCAGACAGTCCCCCCGACCTGGGGCCAGGTGGGCAAAGGCTCCAAGTTCCAGACCCCTTGATAGTTCAGTGGGGATGATGTTTTTAGGGGAAGCTGCAACCTACCCAACACTTCGTCTCTTTCAGCCACGTACCAGAAGATCACTCCGGTGTCGTTGCCCAAGGAGCCCTTGGAGGCTGGGAGCAGCTACTCCATCACGCTGTACATTGGGGAGCAGGCTGTGGTCATGCCCAGGGCTCGCTGCCACTCCTTCGTGGCCAGGCCAGGGAGCCCAAGGGAAGGCGCCCCCTCCCACCACAAGAACAAATCCATCTTTAAAAAGTTCTTTGGGAAGAAAGAATGAGCCCAGGATGGATTGCATGGGGGCTTGAAACTGGCAGTGCTTCCTCCATTCAGGCCTGCTAGCTACCACTTGTGGTATTCTAGCAGGACCTCTTCACCCAGCAGCTGCCTGCAGGGCCTGCTTCCTCCCCAAGGCTGATGGGAGTACTGGGGGGATGGGAGGGAGAGAGAGACTGCACTGCTGGATCGGACTAGCCCAGGGTCAGCCTGGCTCCATGGTGGCTGCACTGGCAGACACATTGCTGTATGGACCAGAGCCTTCTCTCTGAGTTTGCAGGGTCCGGTCTCTGTGCCAGTGGAGCTGATGGAGCCCTGTGGGGGGAGTGTCAGGCAGCTGGTTCCCCAGACACCCCAAGGCACATGCTGCTCAGAGCAAGGAAAGGAGATTATTAGTGTTATTAAAACCAAACAAACCAAACTATCTTGCTGTTCCTTCCTCTCCTTGTGAGAAGGGTCAGTGTTAGGTGGAGGCTCCCTTGGGCTGCAGTTCTCCTGCGTCCCATGCCACAGGGTCTTCTGCAGATCCCCCAGAGTGCTCTGAGGACCAGGACTAGGGAGCAGGGCTGGGTTCAGAGGAGAAGGGGGCTCCCTGGGACTGCCCAGGGAAGATTGTTGGAGAGAGGCACCTTGCAACACCGAGTTGCAGGAGAGCAGGCCCTTCTCACCAGGAGCATTCCTTGGCCTGGAGCATTCCTTGTCCATCATAGCTCAGCACCAACCTGCCCAGCTGACCCCTGCCAGAACCTACGGCAGGATCTGCAGAGAACCTCACTCCATCTCAGGGAATACAGCCTGGAGGTGATTCCACAGCACCAAAGTGCTGAGTTGGTGAACTTTCCTCTCCTTGCCCCTGCCCCCTGCTGCCCAAGGAGAGCTGCCTGGGGAATGAGCAATGGGTCAGGCCAGGCCCAGACATCCCTCCCTGGGGAACTCTGTCCAGAGGTAACGCGCCTGCTCATCACCCACTTCTCCGGTGGGATTTTCACAGGGCTATGCCCCAGGTCACATGGTTGGTGAAGGGGTGTGTATTACTCTGTCCGCCAAGACTCCAGATGCTTTGCAGCAACTCTGCTGGGCTGCACTAGCCTCTAGTGTCTTTTAACCAACCATAAGGGCTTAAGGGATGGGCACAAAGGCAGTCATTGGACTTCTTGGGCTGCCGCTTGGAGTGGCAGGGTATCCAGCACTGGATGGAGTAGGGAGCTGTGTGCTCAGCCCTAGAGAAAGGGGAGCCATATCACACCAGTGGGATTGTACACCTCCCCACCCCCAGGCACATGCCTCTCTTCCCTGCTGAATTGGAGCACTAGGATGGGTTGGAAAGGCAGAAATGCTCCAGGATCAAGGAGAAGGCCCAGGCAGGTATGCCAAGTTTAGAGGGCAGTGTCCAGGGTAAGAGGCTGCTCCTGCTGGCTTGGGAGCTCCCATCCTTCCCTTTACCCACTTCTCTGCAGTCCCAGCCAGTACTGATGCCAGTGCCCTAGCATGTTGGAAGGGGTGCAGTGCTGCAGCAGCAGGGTAGGTAGCTCAGTAAGGAGCACCTCCAGCTCTGCCTATGCCCACTGAAGTCCATGCTCCTGTCTGGTACTGCTGCTTGAAGGGCCTCTTTGGGAAGCACCCTAAAGCCAAGGCCCTGCCTGTTTGCACCCCATGGAGTTCCCCAGCCTCCTTCCTCATCAGTTCTGGCACTTAGCCCTGGACTCCCAATCAGGTCACATTCTACTGAGAAGTCTTCCCTGCAGTTTCTGTGGGTGAAGCTACTTCCTCTTGCAAACTGCTGATGCAGGTCACATCCACCAGCTGAGCCAGTGTGGGATGTTCTCAGCCGGTGGGGCCTGGCTCCTACATGTGCCCCTGCAGTGCAGTTTGTGCAAGGGCTTGGGTCAGCTTTGGGATTAGGAGTGCTTCGTTCCTGTGGGTGCTAGACACACAGTGGGACAGTCCAGTCAAGAACGGCAGAGAAGGTGAGATGGCAATGTAAACCCGAGGCAGCGGGGTCCTGAGGTTTCAGGGGAGAGAGAGGATGTGGGACTGATGCACAAAGCTGTGAGGTGAGGAATGGGGGTGATGATGGGAGTCCTGTGGGGCTACATGCTGGAGTGCAGGGGGACGAGGGGTCCTGGGAGCCCAGCTCTGGGAACACGGGTTGAGCTCTCATAATGGTAACGTGGGTGTTCTGGTGAGGGGTAACGCTGACAACTGAGATGCCAGCTCAGGGACCCAACTCTGAGCCCCACAGGGCTGGCCTGGCCTGTCCCCTCTGGGTTTTTCCCCTCCCCACACTGAACTAGGGCTCTGAGCTGAGCAAAACTCTGAGGCATCCCATCCCAGTGTCTGTAGAAAGGCTAACACTGGGATGACCTCCACCACATGTGAAAATGAAAGGGCTTCTGGGGAGAAGACAAAAGCAGAACCAGCTGCATCAGTTGCTGTTTTCATCCTCTTAGTCCCAAGGTGACCCCTGCTTCTCACGGTAAACTGCTGCGCCCCTCCCCCCCCCCATCTGGTTAGGGAGCCATGGCCTGTCCCACCCCAGGAGGCTCTCAGAAGCAGCTCATCAGTAGGTTCCTCCCAGGAGGGGGATCCTATAGGACTGAAGTCCACAGCACTGTCTGGAGAAGGATCTGAGCTCAAGTTCAGCCCTGGGCACCCTGGCCTTGGAAACCAAGGAAATGGTGACAAATGTGGAAAAGATCTGAGTGGCTGGGGGGATCCCCTCCTGGCTAGGGAGGGCTAGTGTGTGGGATTCTTTGGCCCTCTTCTCTGGGATGAGGGGCTGCAGAGGGGGAGAACCAGGGGTAGACACTTGCTGAAGAGTCACAGTTGGATTCTGTCATGTTACAGGTAGAAACCCAAAGTGGGGAAAGGGCCAGATGAAGTGGAAGAAGACAGATCTCAGGCCTCTAACCCTCTAATCTAAATACTCCCCCCCAAAAAGCTGCACAGCCATACAGCTTCCCATTAAGCCCCGTGCAGGGGCTAAGGGCTGCAGCAGGGAGAGAGATCTCTCTGCAAGCCCTCTATACATTGCAGCCTGCCTGGAGGAGTCCCTCCCTCCTGACCCCCTTAGGGAGCTGCCCAGGTAAGCCTAAGTCCCAATTCCCTGCCCCATCTTGAGGCCCTTCAGCCCTGAGAAGCTTCCTGCACCCCAAAACCCTCATCCCTGGCCCAAACCCAAAGGTCATAACTCCAGAGCTTGTATCCCCTCTTGCTCACCTAACCCCAGCCCCAAACCTGCCCCCCCTACACTCCAAGACCCTCATCCTTGGCTGCCCCCCTGAATCTGCACACCCAAACAGAGCCCTTCCATCCCAATCCTCTGGCCCAGTGGTCCCCAACAGGGTGCCCGTGGGCCCCATGGCATCCACGGGGGCATTTGTGGGCGCCCACCAAGTGCTCGGGACTGGCCCCGCCCCGGGCGTGTGGCACATGCAGGGTGCCGGCCCCAGGCGCACTGCGCATACACAGCACCAGCCCTGGGCATGTGACGCATGCATGGTGCCGGCCCCAGGCGCACTGCGCATACACAGCACCAGCCCCGGGTGCATGGCGCATGGGAAGCACCGATCCTGGGCGCACAGCAAATTGGCCACCCTGGCCCCAGTCATGTGGCAAATTGGCCGCCCCGCCCCAGGCACATGGCTACGGGGGGGCGCCAGCCTCAGGCGTGCGGCGAATTGGCCTCCCTGACCCCGGGCTTGCAGCTATGGGGGGTGCCGGTTCTGGGCGTGTGGCTCTGGAGGGCGCTGGCCCCAGGCTTGTGGCGAATGGGTGGCCCTGCGCATGGCCACGCGGCGCATGGGGTTGCTGGCCCCAGGCACGTGGCTGATGGGAGTGTGGCGTATGCGCAGCCCATCCCATGGGCGCACGAATGTCCCAGCCCCCTGGCACCCGGCAGGCAAACGGCCCTGCCCCCTCACCCCCAGCAGCTCCAAATGGTTGGGGACCACGGCTCTGGTCCATCTACCCAGGAGTCCTCACCCCCAACAAGAGCCCTCACACTAGTGTACCCTGACTTTCCAGCCCAGAGCCCCCTCCCACACTCAGGACCCCCTTGGCCCTACTCCCACCACGACTTATGTGCATGTATCTGAAGGTGATGGGTGGCACATCACCTCTGTGTTACACATCACCTCCACACTGGTGCACGTAAGAAAATTCATTCTACTCAGTGGTGGGAAAAAATAGAGGGAACACTGCCTCTAAGGCAACCAGTGTCAGAGCCACGTTGTTCTGCTGCAGAGCAGAGGGAGGGGCACTGGCACAGCTGTGTGTGGGGAGCCCAGGGCTGGGATAGCAGGGGGCTGCAAAAATAGAGGGAACACTGCCTCTAAGGCAACCAGTGTCAGAGCCACGTTGTTCTGCTGCAGAGCAGAGGGAGGGGCACTGGCACAGCTGTGTGTGGGGAGCCCAGGGCTGGGATAGCAGGGGGCTGCAGAGCAGAGGGAGGGGCACTGGCACAGCTGTGTGTGGGGAGCCCAGGGCTGGGATAGCAGGGGGCTGCAAGGCAGGGGGAGGGGCAGTGGCAGAGCTGTGTGTGGGGAGCCCAGGGCTGGGATAGCGGGGGGCTGCAGGGCAGGGGGAGGGGCACTGGCAGAGCTGTGTGTGGGGAACCCAGGGCTGGGATAGCAGGAGGCTGCAGGGCAGGGGGAGGGGCACTGGCAGAGCTGTGTGTGGGGAGCCCAGGGCTGGGATAGGAGGGGGGTGGGAGGGGGGGGG